CCCTTGTCCTTCCCTCCCTCCCCCTCCCATGTGGTCCTCCGGTCGTCAAGCGACATTTGTTAGAGATTTGTTGCTCATCCTGTCTGTTTCGCGTGTTGCAGGAGGCTGGTCAAGAACCATCAACCAAAGAAGAAGGAGGAGGAGGAGTATCAGTACGTTTCTGCCAACTGGAAGTGCACTCCACGGAGTGTGTCTTATTTTCTGGTGAATTTGTGAAATTGAATGTGATGACTATGTTCTGAATCTTGTCTTCAGGTACAGTCCGTGCAGGGCATTTAAGCTGGTGATGAATGAAGTGAATGACCTGGCTGGGCAACATGAAGTTATTGCAGAAAATTTACAAACACACATCATTCGGGAAGTTGGAATACTGGTGAAAGATTTTAAGGAGGAGAGGAAAAAGGTGCCCATTGATAATCATTGTGTTACTTATCTGTTTACATTCACAACAATTATTGTACTAACATTGATCTGTTTCCTTACTATGCCCAGCATTTACAGGATGGAGCTAGAATGATGACAAATCTGACAAATCAAGTAGCCACTTTGGAAAGAGCCCGTAAAAATTATGAAAAGGCATTTAAGGAAGCAGAACGCGCCTTGGATAATTATCAGCGAGCAGACGCAGATCTTAACTTATCACGATTGGATGTAGAGAAGCAAAGAACAAACATGACAATAAAATCACAACAGTGTGAGGACACTAAAAACGAGTATGCTAATCAACTTCAGAAAACAAATGACCTACAGGTACAGATATATTATTTCAGTAATTGTTTTTTCTTTGTATCTTGAACAATTCTTTTGGGGGGATGTTGATTTACTATTATGGTTTATGTTCAAAACAGGCACAACACTACCAGAATCTTATGCCAGATGTTTTCCAACACTTGCAAGAATTAGATGAAAAGAGAATCAAAAACATAAAAAATTTCATGACCCAATCAGTAGATATTGAGAGAAGTGTATTTCCAATTATCAATCAGTGTTTAGATGGTATTCTCAGAGCAGCAGATCAAATTAATGAAAAAGAGGTAAATATTTCACCATTTTTTCATTATTTCTTGTTTTCTCCTCTTTAATAATTGCATCTTGCATTTTATCAAAACAACTATTTTTCTTTTAACCTGCAGGATACTCAAATGGTAATAGAGAGGTACAAGTCAGGCTTCCTCCCACCCGGGGACTACCAATTTGAAGACCTTAGTGCAGTGAAAAGTGGGGAAGCTCAACCGATGATTATCAACAATGCTATCACCTCAATCAGACCAGAGGCCATGACAGTCAAGGGAACAATGTCTGCTGGAAAATTGAAGAAGAGAGTAGGACTATTCGGAATTTTCAGCTCAAACAAGGTATGTGCCACTATAGAAACTTTTTATGATATTTAATTCATTTTATTCTCAAGTTAGTTTCCTCCTATGAATTTTTCAACCTGGTTTCTTCAGAAAAGCAGTTATTATTCCTTTTTGGTTTTACTGGCTACTGGAATACTATTGGAATGAGCAATTCCAGTCCAAGCCAATATTCTTGTTGTCTCATTTTGCAAACTTGTTATGTCTACATGTTTTTGGGCTCATCTCTCCTTTAAATTTTTGTTTGCATTTTATGCCTATTGGTGTGTAGTATTTTAATAATCAAGTGTTATCTTCAATGCGCACTTGTTTCTATAAGAAATCAATCAATCTCTTAAAAGTCTAATGTGAGAAAATTCCTGGGAAGGAAACTCCCCTCCGCAGCATACAATCTTATGTACTTTATGATTACTCTGCATGAGTTTTTGTTAAATTATACTGTTGTGGTATGTTTGTGCACAATTTGTGTTAATTTTGGTGTGCGTTTAAAATCTCCCTAAAAAACGTCGATGTTTTTGTCAAAATTTTATTGTAATTTGTACAAGTGATACACAGTTTGAGTTAAAGCACTTTTTCTATCTGTAAAGAGAGTAACCTGTCACAATTTAGATTGATTGTATTCATAGTATTGATAGTTTGTTGTGTGGTTTGACTGTGTAGTTAATTTACTTTTCCCCAAATAATCTCAATTCCAAATTCAGAATGCAATTACTTTCTGATTTCTTCTTTAAGATAGATAGAAACCATACCAACATCTAAATGAGTGCTGGTTAAGACAGATAGTGTTATTGTGTCACTTTCAGTACATTCTATGTCTTAAGCTTGGTTTGGTCTTTCTTAATTTTTCCTCTCCTTTCTGATGGAATCTTGGTCTTTTCCTTGTCTGAATTTCATTGCAACTTGGTGCTGGTGGTGTCTGGCCTTCTCTGCTGCTAATTGTTGTAAGTATAACTCTGCCAGGCACTCAATGAGTCATTAAAATCTAAATGGCGCAGTTCAGCTTTGCTGCAAACCATTTTTATGTAAAATATATCTATCAGAATTTTCTTTATAGCTTGCCAAATTTTTTGCTTAGTTCCAAACATTGCATGTGCATGCCATAAATACCTTCTTATAGTAATTATAACCGTCTCACTGTGCTGTTATTGACACTTCTTCTGTACTGTCACTCCATTAGGATACCATGCTTTTGAGTGAGAAACCTCAAGAAATCTTTTGACTGTGCCCTATTAGCTGTGGTGATTTCCTGAACAGTCCTTTACGGTAGCACACACTACCTGTAGTGTTTCAGGAGAAATAGGATCATATTAGCACATATAGCTTTAATTCATCAAAGCAAAAATTATTTTCATCCAGAAAGATTTGTTTCCTTCCCCAGTGTACTAAAACCAGTATTATAAATACTTGCCTTTCAGCTTTCATTAGTTGAGCGTGTATTGATCTTGTGTTTTCTAGGAATGGACTTTCATATTGTTAACTGTGCGATTTCATTACAGAACAATCTTTCTCCATATGGTGAAAATAAGGAGGACTACAGTGACTTACCACCCAATCAGAGGAAGAAGAAATTGCAACAAAGATTGGAAGAAATCTCTGCTAAAATTCAGCAGGAAACAGCAGCAAGGTAAATCAATCAATCTTGTTTCACAAAGCTTTCTACAGAGTCAAACTCATGTTGCATTTTAAAATTGAACCCAATATATTTCTTTAGGGATGGATTAATGAAGATGAAAGGCGTTTATGAACAAAACCCAGCTTTAGGTGATCCTATGTCAATAGAAGGTCAATTAAATGAAAGTGGTCATAAATTAGACAAACTCAGACAGGAACAACACAAGTTCCAAATGTACTTGGAGGAAGCTCAAGACAATGGGGCTTCTATCATGAATGTATCCCCGTCAGTCCCTGGCCGCCGTCTCAAGTCACAACCTTCTCGTCTCATTAATGGAGGAGGGCAACGTCATCACCGGTAAATTATTTCTTTACTTGGAAAATCTTAGCACAGTTCTGTGCTGAAAATATTTTTTTCTCAGGCTAAAGTACGTTCTATTATTTTACAGACATAGTGGAGGCTCTGGTGGTGAAGAAGAGTCCCTTAGTCGATCTGCCTCAGATTCAAGTGTTTCAAATCCTACTACCAATAACAAGCAGTCAGCTCCTGGAACTCCTCTTCCATTGCATAAGTAAGTTATTCTTTATTTGATGTTTCTTTTCTGATGTATTTGCTATTCCTTCTTGTGTCTAACGACACTGGTGTGTAACATGTAGCTCTTCACACAGCCCCGAGTCAGGACTGGGCACATCACATACATCCTTGCCAGACTCAGATGAGCCAGAGCCAACAGATATTGACGGCAATGCCCAGCCAGAATATTATGATGCTGATCAGCTCCCAGCGCTTGGTATTTGCAGAGCACTATATCCATTTGAAGGTAAATATTTTGAAATTATGGGAAAAGTTACTTTTATATCACGCGCATTGGATAATGGTCTCATCCTTTTTTCCTGTACCAGCCACTAGTGAAGGTTCCATTCCTATGTATGATGGTGAGGAACTCCATATAATAGAACTAGACCAAGGAGATGGATGGACTCGTGTTCGGAGACAGGGAGATACTGAAGAAGGTTTTGTGCCCACATCTTACATTGAATGCACCATATTCAACAATTCCTAGGACTTTTTTCGGGCAGATGACCTGCATCAAGTTTCTGCCCGTTGTTCATTAAGCCAGCACTTCAACAAAGTCAAACAGTTCTTCCACATTTGAGAAGATTTGCCTGATCGCTAACTCTGCTCAACTCTGATCCTCCAATGGCAGGCATAATTAATGTAGCATGCCTTAATTGTTGAGTGCAGCTATTATTCATACTTCAAGATATGCTGAGCACTCTTTGCTCGTATGCAGCAGTGAGTAAAGAAGTGACTTGTCAATACATGATCGATTTGAAAATGCGATCACTCTAGTCGGCAAGTTATTAACTTGGGTTGTATGGATGCAAGTGGTGTCTAGTTTTCATTACACACTTAACTCTGTGTAATTTCTCAAATATTCTCTCAATGTCTTCCAATTTTGAACGGGGACAGTAATACCAGTTACCTGTCGAGAGGACATTGGCTATTTTAAATGGGGCACCCCATTGCTTGCTCTGTACATTAGTGAAATTAGCTCAAGAAATCACTTTTATTATTTTTTTTTGCATTGCTGTCATATCTGTACTAGAGCTAGATTATCTACAAACCTTATGAGATGGTGAATGAGAGTCAGTACAAGCATCACTCATGAAGACTGCTAATCGTGAAGGTATAGTTGAAGCTACAAATTGTTTCACTATTGTAACATAAAATTATTTTTGTATTATGAGGTAGTCCTGCTGTATTTTGATCATAAATGACAAAGCTCTTTGACACTACATTATTTATTTTAAGATTTTGACCGTTACTACTACATAGACAATTTTTAATTTCAATTTCCATTCTTTTAAATGTTTTTGTTTGTGAACTATTGTTTTTTGGTTTCAGTTTGTTTAATGACTGAGGTGTTAGTGCTGAGTGTGCTAATTTGTTTAAGGGGAATGAGCAAGGGCAAGTAACTGGAAGCAAGTTCCAGTCTTTCTGAGAACTGTTTCGGGGGACTGCTGTTAGTATGTTATGATAAATGAAGTGGAGAGTCAGTGAGTCTATGACCAAAGTAGTATGTGATTCCCTGGAATGAGGGTATGTTTCAATGGAAATTGATGCTGCTTCCATAAGTTGTGCTGAGCGAAGTATTTTTCTCTTTGATTATATACAACATGGACATAAAGTAATTTTTCTAAATTAGTTTTGGTGGAAAACAATTATATTGTTTCCTTATTTTTAAAAACAGTTGCCAATCAACTCATTTATTACCTTATCGTAAACTAGTACTGTAGCTGCACAAATTTAAAAGTGAGCAGGTGTAATCTTAATTTTGTTCTGTCTCCTTTGCAAGTGCCACAATTATTTATATACGTCATTTTACCCAAAATATAAATAAGCGAGCTTGTTTCTGGTAACTTCCCCTTGTGGATACTTTGCAAATATAGAAGAAACTATCTTCTTCCTCTCATTAGGCATCTTTAGTTGAAAGCCAAATTTTGTTTGTTGTCTTGTTCTTAAAAATTTTCAGGCATAGTGAGTAAACGTACCAATCCCAATGCAAGTCGTAAAGCGATCAGGTTTGTAGCGATATCTCAGTTATTTGTCAACTGGGTCATGAAAGTTATTATGATAGTGCTGGAACAACTGGTAGAACCATTCAAAAAAGTTTGAATTTTTTGAATATCTGAATAGGCAATATTTTAAAATGCTAGTAAAATATGTTGAATTATGTATGCTCTAGAATGACTGATGTTAGAAATGGTTCAACAGCATGGGTCAGGTTGATATGCTGTGTTCCTGTAAATAAGAATAGTCGTCTGTAAATATTATATTTATGTACATAGAGCTGCTTTATGTGCCGCTCTTTTTTTTCTACCTTACGATGGTGAATATTGTTGTATAAATGTAATAGTAAACACAGTTGGTCTACGTTGTATAGTGATTTTTTTCTCTTGTTATTTTATCTTGCACTGTTTAATTTTATTTCAATTGAATTTTCTTTGTCTATTTTATGTTATATTTTTCCTTCTTGTGTACAGATCAAAATTATTTACCTAACTGTGACTCTGTATTTAATAAACATAATGTGTAAAGCCATGTGTATTTGTCAATATTAATATTTTGATTAATCCTTTCCATCTGCTGCTGTCATGCGGTTGTGAACTTGACCCGCTTTTGATGGTGGAGGAACGGCATCCTCGCTTAGTGGGCCCTAGGTTAGAAGTTGTAGGTTGTGAACTGCAACTTGACTCATATTAGGTATACAAGCATTCCTTACCTATTCGTGCTAGGTTGATTCTGGTTCTGATCAAAATAAAGTAGCTAGACCCATGACAATTGTTCTGAAAATCTGTTGTTGTTCTCCGCATTGTCTCATACACTGTATTTATTTTGCATTGAATGAATGAAAGATTTTGTAGCATATCTGCCTCCTCTTATTTTAAAAGAATTTTTCATGTACCTGTTATTGTTGTTTTTGGTTGGAGAAAAATATATCATGCCATTAAAAATGCATTTGTCATTTGCTTGTCTGATCTTTCAAACTTTTTAAAATTTTAAAGAGAAAGCAACATGTACAATTCCAAACATGTTTCTTTTGTATTATTGTTGTTGTGTTGTACTGCTGACATGAAACAACTGAAGTGCATGGACATTGTCTGATAATGGGTTAGATCTTTGATACTTTATCCGTCCCAATGTATAATATAATAATGTTTAAGTGTAATTGCATTTTGCTGTTCACATCTGTATGTCTTAATGCTTTCCTTTATTGTGCTTTACATTATAAGGTCATAAAACAGAGTTATTGTGAATGTTATTTTAATGTGTGATGATGTATACATCTGCCATGTTCTGAAATTTTAATGTTTTGAACATCTTTCTTATGTGTACGGCCATTTGAGCCGGCTGCTTAACATGTGATAAAGTGGGGGGAGGGGGGTAAAGACTCGTGGTTGTCTGGCGTATTTAAATTAGCGTTAAGTTTGACATGGTCTTTTGTAAAACCTATCCTTATGCTACTTAAACAGCAAATGACGCAAGTCGAACAATTTTCTTCTCACATATGCAGAGAGCAGCTTTTGTTTTTATCTAAATATCATATAATAACTATGCTTTTTGTCAGTTAACTTTTACAAGGATGATATTTTCCCCCTCAAAAATTGCATTTGAAAAGATAGTTGTGTATTGTGTACTACACTGGACTTCACAGAACAACTGGAACGCATAGTAGTTTTAGAATTAAATTTGAAAAGCAGGGCATGTACGGGCATGTATGTCCCTGCTAGAAATTCATACCAAATGACTGAGACCTGAGTGCCAATAAATTTAAACTAAAGCATTTTTGAAAGAAATTGTTCACATCTTAGTATTAAATCTTTCATGAACCAGGCTACTTGAATGTAGAGTGGTCAATTGTTCACCAGTGAAGCAAAATTTAAGCAGGATAGATACTGTGCTTGCTAATAAAATTTTCTTAACCATTTTTTTTTTTTTTTTTTGTTGGAACAGTTTGCCAATATCTATTTAATTCTTCAGTAAGAGCTTTTCTGCTTTGATACTCTTTTAAAGTATAATGAATCTAAATAAAATGGTTTGAGTGATAATGACTGACTGTAGGTAATTTGTTGGCAATGGTCTGATCAATGTGATAAATTTCAAGTCTTCATATTTTCTGTGTTGGGTTTGGAAGTTTATTTTGGGGATCATCAAAAATTGCTCCATCTGCTTCTATGAAACAGATTATCTGTATCACATTGAGTAGACCAATGCTTACAATGTAAAGTAGGAAAATTGAATATTATGTAATCAAATGTATGTTGCTATCTTCTATATCCACAAGTGTACATGTTTGTTTAGGCCAACTGTGTCATTAGCACCAGAGCAATTTCAATTCTGATTTTTTCTTCAGCTGTACAGCATCTGATATTTTATGTTAAGATCTAAAATATAATTATTGAATATACTGATGTGTTTTGAGTTTGTCCATTGCCCAAGACACGTTCAATTAAAAGAATGTTCTGAAGTGCTGAATAAATAAATACATCACAAAGCATACACTTAAAGATGATACGGTCAATACAATTCGGTTCATGCACCGATCAGGGCAGAGCAAGAGCAAGAATTTAACACCGACCCCCGACCGGAAATTCTGAGTCTGGCATATGACAGGGTTGGCGGACCCCTCCCGATAGATGGGTAGATGGAGGATCCGCTGCGGCGCGGCCTGGCGGCCTCCTCACTCTTCCAAGTCTCGTAATACATACAGCTAACCGAGCACTCAAATTTTATTTCATGAATTTGTTTGGCATTTTTGCTTAATGTTTTCAACTGCAAAGGATATT